TTGCTGCAGGGCTTTGGGCACCTGTGGTGCTGTGATCCTGTGAGGGGTCCTGCTCCAGCACTGGGTGTGATCTGTGATTACCAGATTCTTATGGGCTGGCAGGAATCTCATCCAGTCTGCATCAGGAAAATGCGGGTGGGCAGGGACGTGGCCTGGAAAAGATGATATATAAACTCTGTAAGAGTAGAGGGGTAGCTGCTGGAAACAAACAGTGGCTGTGCCAGTTGGACTGGTCTGGCCGTGTGACACTGGGCCTCATTTTGAGGCTACATACACATAGCCAAGCAAGGCTTCCTTTTATTGTCCTTTGTTATGAAACAAATACACAGAAGACTATAATGAAGCCCGGGTACCCGCCACCCAGCCTGCTCTCATCAACTCAGGGAGCAAACTGCTTGGAAGTTTCCATTCTGTGCTTATTTTAGATGTGGTTGCAGGGGGCTGTCCACATGAAGGGGATGAGCCCTCCCCACAACTCAGCTACCCGAGCATTGCCCCTATCTGGGAGGGATCTTAGGAATATGTGCATGTGGTATATACTTGTTGCATAACATCAAATGGAACATTTTAATCATTCTTAAGCATACCACTCATGCTCATTGGCATTTGGTACATTAATAGTGTTGTGCAGCCATCACCACCATCCATCTCCAGAACTTTCTCATCTTCTCAGACGGAAACTCTGTACCCACAATACACCAGTTCCCCATTCCTTCCTCCCCTGGCACCCACCATTCAACTTTCTGCTCGATGATTCTGACAATTCCAGGTTCCTCATATAAGTGCACTCACACAGTAAATTGAGCATTTTGTGACAGGCATATTTCCCATAGCATCATGACCTCAAGTTTCATCCATGTTGTAGCATGGAGTCAGAATTGCCTTCCTTTTTAAGACTAAGTAATATTCCACTGCGTATCCATACCACATTTTGCTTATCCATTCATCCATCAGTGGATACTTGAGTTGCTTCCACAGTTTGGCTGTTGTGAATACTGTTGCTAGGAACTCAGGTGTGCAAATATCTATTTGAGTCCCTGTTTGCAATTCTTCTAAGTATATACCCAGAAGTGAAATCGCTTGATCATATAGTAACTCTATGTTTAATCTTTCTGAAGGATTTTTTTTTTTTTTTTTTTTTTTTTTTTTTTTTTTTTTTTTTAAACCAGCATTGTCCTTGAGGTGTAAGAAGGGGATGTGATCTGGGCTGACTGGGACTTATTCCTCCCACTTGGTGGGGGTGGGGGTGGCTGCCTTTTGTTCTTGCATCAAAGACTAGATTTTAGATTTGCAGAGTGCAGGGATTGTGGCTGCTAAGCCGACTTGCCTGGAGCGGAGGAGGTTTTGGATTTCACTGTGCACATCCCTTTTCCACACTCAGCCAGCCGCTGTCTGCCAGCTCTGAATGGGCCTCACTCTCCCCCGCCCTCCTCCCTGCTGGTTAGCTGCTCTGTTGATCAACCCTCATTTCCCTGAGCCTCTTGTAGCCTTAGGATCGTAGCCCCTTCTCCCTGCCCCCTCCTCTGAAACCAGTGTTTGCTTTCAGCTTTGGGTAGAACTTTGTAGGAAGCTCCGGACTTAACTCGGCCACCAGGTTCCCAGTTCTTTGAGGTAATGAGACTTCCCACTGGGTGTTCCTGGTAGAGGAGGGGAGAGCAAGGCCCCTCTCTCACTTTGCTCTGGTTCTTGGGAAATGGCAGCTCCCAGAGCCCCCCAGTAATATACTTTGTGCTCGAAGAGATGCGGGGACCCAGGAGTGGAAAAACTGCAGTGTGAAAGGAAGTCCCTGTATGCCGCTTAGGATGGGCGACAAGGAAGTGAGAGCTTTCCTGCTCCCTCTGTCTCATTTGCACTGGAGCAGGCTGGATTCACTGGGACCATGGGCTGAAGCCTCAGGTGGAATGCAGCAGTAGCAGTGACCAGCCATCCGGAGTCCAGACATAAAAGCATTAGTTCCTCAGACATCAGTTTGGGGAGATGTGTGCAGAATTGGAAACAGCTGGGTTTTTAGTTGTCTGATGGTTATAATTACCTTGTGGAGTCCGGCTATGGAACCTGGTTTTTCAGTCTCACCTGGTGGAGGTGAAGTGTCCATATCAGAGTCAATGGCCCCACACAACCCTAGCCAGCAAACTTTTAGCAGGCACTTGGTTTTGCCCTGGGTTTTAGGGCATTGCTAAGCTAGGACTTTGTTTCACACATGTGGAATCTTTACAGTCTTTGGAGAGAGCCCCCTGAGTCTGACCCTAAAGTTCTTACTTGGGGCGTCACTTGATATTAATTTGATCTTGAACATGAGCTCAATGTAGTCACAGGCCGGGACATCAGGTGGTGGTTCTCAGATTAAAGGTGCTCTTCCAGGTGATGAATCTGTTGACTTTCTAAAAGGTCATTATTTCAAAAAAAAAAAAAAAAA